GCCTGGGAGGGAGGCCGGGGTCTGCCCTGGAGCTGGCAGGGCCGCGGGCGCTGTGCGCTCAGCCCCCAAGTCCGTGATCCGACCCAGGCTTGCCCTCACACCCCTTGCCTTCTCTGGACACAGGGGTGGAAGGCGCAGGTGTTTGCAGTGGGTCTGTTTTCCCTTTTAGTTCTAGAACCCCACTCCTGGAAAGTTACTTTTTCTAATTGAACTGAATTCACCCAGAATTTAATTATGAAAAGTGTATGAGGAAGCGTATAGCAGTCCTGACCTTGCTGTCTGCTTCCTACTCATTGATTTATATGTGTGTGTTCATTCATTGAGACCAAGTCTCCATATGTTGCCCAGGCTGGCCTTGAGCTCATTGTGTAGATCCTCCTGCCTCAGCTTCCTGAGTACTGGGATTACAGGAGTATGCACCACGCCCCACTTTTTTATGTGTTTCAAATATGCCTTGTCTTTCGTTTTGTGAGACGGAACAGGAGCTTTCTTCTCCTGCTCCTGTCTTGCGGATGTGGCTCTCTGCCCTGTAGGGTGGTACCTGTGTCCTGGCCCCTTGTCCCCGGCCTGGGATCTTGAGGTGCAGGGATATTGTTGCACCAAGAGGCTGCAGTAAAAACGGCCGTCAGAGTCACCACTTATCTGTTGTGCTTTCCAGATAGTCCGAGCGACAAACTAGTGAGCGTCAAATTTGTTCAGGACACTTCCAAGTTCTGGTACAAGCCGGATATTTCGAGAGACCAAGGTACGTGGGGGGATGAGGGCCCCGTGGGTGGAAATCCACGGCCCTGGCCACAGTGTATCCCATGCCTCTTGTGGAGACACCAGGCCTTTAGTTCTCATGGAAAAGCCTGGCGCTCGGGGGTCAGTGAGAGGCAGGGGTACCCGGGTGCGAATGGCTGCACCGCCACTGGTGATGCTGCCCGTGGAGAACGAGAGGCTGACGGAGCGAGGCCCCTGTCACCGCTGTGCTCGCTGCCGGGTCCTGGGTCAGGGTGGGCGGTGCCTGTGTCTGGCTCCGGTGTGGACTACAGCTGGGGTGTGTACCCCACTGTGTTCTGCTGCCAGGCTCTTGAAGAATTTTAAGTCATTCGTTTTTACGGTTTCTCTTTGTTGTTTTTTTAATCAATACATAATAATGGTACATATTTATAGGGGCAGCATAGTAATGTCACGCATGTCTGCAGGCTTTTCCACTTTCCGGAACAGTGTGAAGTCACCTGTATATTTGAGCAGCTTCTCCCCCTCTCCCTCCCTCTCCTTCCCTCTCCCTCTCTATTAGAGATGAACCCAGAACCTTTGCCCTGCGCTAGATCCCTGGCCCTTTTTTGGTTTTTGCTTTGAGGCTGAGTCTCAAAGGGCCATGCTGAGCTCGCCACCCTCCTGCCTCAGTCTCCCAGAGGCTCACAGGTGTGCACTTGCCCCTGTGCCCAGCGATGTGCCCTTTAACCTGTGCGCGGGTGGACGACCCTCCCAGGTGTCCCCTCTGGTGCCTGCATCCATCACTGGGCAGGACTCACGTAGCTCCCTGCCCATTAATGGCTGCCGTCCCCAGCCCTGGAAATCTCTGGTGGTGTGGACCTGGGGGCCCCATAGTGACCCTGGGTGATGTGGGAAGGACAGGGGGCCCAGTCGGAATCCTTAGGAGATGAAAAGACCCCAGGCTGCTAGGTGGACTCCGGGAGGCGGGAGTGTCCCAGGGCCCAGCAAGCTGGCTCCGCTACTCTGTGACAGTCAGGGAATCCACCTCTGTCCTTGCCTCACATCCCATGAGCACCAGAGATGAACAGCGGGTGGCCGGGCAGTGCTATGGCCCGCTCCCTTGTTGGAATCCTGCCATCTGGTTATGTGCAGAACAGAAATTGCAAGAATGTGCGTTTCTTTCATGAGCTCAATGACACCATTGTCACTTTAACTGGGAGAGAAGGGAAAGGAAAGAAAGTGAAATGCCATGGCCTGGGAGGGCTCGTGTCTTCCTTGAATTGGGCTTTGTGGGAAGCTGCTTGTGGGGAACAGGGAAAGGGGACATTACTAGAACCTCTACAGGAAGTTCTGGTCTCCTGCGAGCCACCACAGCATGAGGCGAATTAACTTATTAGACAGAAAGATGGGAAAAGTGAGACTTGGAGGAGAAGCTGAGCTTTGGGCCTGACCCATGCTGCTCTGGGCACCACACCTTTATGCAGCCCATCAGGAGAAACAAATGTAACAGGTTTCTCAGACAGAGTTCAGTACATTGGTACATTGGGAGGAGCAAATGTAACAGACGGCTCAGGGGGCAGAAGAAGTCTTAGAAAAGTGAGGAACTCTGCAGATGAAGATTTGGGTCCTCCCAGGATGTCTCCAGGTGGTGTGGTCCTGCCCTGGGGCTCAGAGCACCTCGGGACCCTTGGAGTGTTAGCTGAGACCCGAGGCAAAGATGGAGTTAGCTCTGGACATGCCTGTAGCTGGCCCGTGGACAGGAAAACTAGACCCTAATCATAATTTTCCCCCCAAATTATGTAGAATTGCTCCCGTCACTGCTCACCCCGGGTGCCAGGGGCCCAGGGGCTGGGGTCCCATTCCGCCAGCTGGGGCGAGGAGGTGGGAGCGGGGCCACCGCTCCCCTGGCCCTTGGGAGGGGAGGTGCGCAGCACCAGGAGCAGTCACCCTCAGCATCCGTCAGCTTTCCTCGCTGTCGTGAGATACTATGGAGGTTTACTTGTAAATAAGAAAGATGTATTTTTGGCTTGTGGTTCCAGAGGTTCAAGTCTGAATCAAGGTTGGCCCGGGCTCTGGGCCCCTGGTGGAGATGCCTGCTATGCTGGGAGCAAACAAGCGTGTGGGACCCAGGAGCCCCTTCCTTCTAGCTCCGCCCAGTAACCTGCAGGCCTCCCGTCAGCCCCGTCCCTAAGGTGGCCACCCCTCCCTGGGGACCCTGTGCCCCTTTCAGGACAGTGGGCCTCTGGGTAGCAGTGCGGGTGTCCCACAGTGAGCGCCTGGGATCAAACGGGGCTGGGAGAAGAGGGTGGGCTCCCTCCACGTTCTTACTTGGCGCCCTAACCCTGAGGTGTGTGATGTGTAAAGGAGCAGGAGCTTAGTTTGACTCCATGTTCTGGAGGGTCCGGACCTGGATTTAAAATAACCCGGTGCAGAATGCCTGATCCCATCCTGGATTTCAGCATGGATTTGGGACTAGCCATATTGAAATCCTGGTAAGGTCTCCAGTAATGGTAACTCCCACCTTCTCCTGCTCTCCCTCCAGCCATCGCCATGTTGAAAGACAAAGAACCCGGGTCCTTTGTTGTACGGGACAGCCACTCCTTCCGGGGTGCCTATGGCCTGGCCATGAAGGTTGCCACCCCTCCTCCTTCTGTCCTGCAGCTGAACAAGAAAGGTGAGGTCGCCGGGGTCCTTCTGTTCAGCTCTCCCACGGAGGGTCTGTGGGGTTATGTTGATGCAAAGAACACAGTAGGTGACTTACAGCACCCTCACGGGTTTTCTTCTTAGTATCTATTATCTGAGGAATGTTTTCCTAAGTACTCACCTTGTTCAAGAGAGAACGTTATTTATGAATTTGTTTTCTGAATTTTGAATAGTGCATCGGTCAGCTTTCCTGTTGCTGAGACACAGTGCCTGACACCTGTCCCCTTAAAGGAGGAGAGGTTTAACGTGGCTCACGGTTCTAGGAGATTCAGTCCATGGTCAGCTGGCTCTAAGGCAGGAACAGCATGGCAGAAAGGCATAGCCGGAGAGCGCAGCATGGAAACAGCACTGGAGAGGAAGGAGCCAGGGACAGATGTAGACCCATGGTCACACCTGCCAGACACACCCCAAGGCTTGCTCTAACTGTTCTCTGGGCAGATCCCGAAGCCAGTCAAGTTGGCAGGATCAAACTTCACTTTCACAAATAATAGGCAATTATCGCACTGTGCAGAAGTAAAAAAGACAAACAAGAAATCCCCTTGGGTTCCTCTCTTCTGCTTTCAGTCCGGGGCACCTCGCTATCCACTCTTCTCCTTTCAGTAACCGTGTGCAATACACATTTGTGTGTCTGCATTGATTGTGTGCCCCAGTGCAGACACGTGTGCATCCTCCCTTTTTCTTACATCAAAAGTGGCATTTTATATGCACTACTCTTTCGTTTTTGTTTTTTGCGGTACTGGAGATTGAACCCAGAGAGCAGAGCTAGTGAGCTTATGAAGAAGGGAGGTTTGACTTGTGGTTTCTGAGCGTTCGGTCCCTGCACAACATGGTGGGAATGAGCGGTAGAGCAAAGGGTTCACCTGGCCGCAAAGTGAGGCACAGAGGAAGAGAAAGGAGCTGGGGTTCTGCTCTTCCCTTCGAGGGTGCACCTACCTTGACCGAAAGATGCTGTACTAGGCCCTACCTCCTGAGGTTCCGTGACCCGCTCCCCGAGCCAAGCTGAGGACTTGACCATCACTTTGGGTTCCTGTGGGGATATTTTAGATCCAAACAGTAGCAGGTGGGGCGAGATCAGAATAAGCAGATTTTGAAATCTCTGTATTTAAAGAAATATGAGACCCTTGCTTGGATCCCCACGTCCCATGTCTACCAGAGAGGTTGAAACCCCTGCTTGAAGCTTCCTGGAGAAAGTGGACCTGGAGTCCTAAGGTTTGGTGGCAAGAGGGCCAGCCCCAGGCCTGGCCGAGGCGTCCCCAGGCAATGCAGTGGTCTTCTCTTGGCAGGAGAAGTGGTGTGAGAGGAAGAGGTGGAGTGGGGTGGGAGGGCCCCAGGGCTGCATCAGCAGAGCCCAGACCCGTGGATACAGAGAGTTCTTCAAGGGAGGGGGGCAGAGGTTTGTGCAATACCAGAGATTGAAAAGGGGGCTCCTAGAGCACCCCAAATTCTAGATTGAAAACTAGCTGTCTTATTACTTTCTTGTTGTTGGAACAAAATACCCAACACTTGCAATTTAAGGGAGGAGAGGTTCATTGGGCTCCTGTATTCGGTGGGTTCATTGCATGGTCAGTGGGCTGAAAGACAAAAACCTCACGGCAGAAGGGCCTGGTGGAGGAGAGCTGCTCCCCCGATGCCGGCTGGGAAGCGGAAGGAGCAGAGGAGCTGGGGACAAAGACAGACCCTTCCAGGTCACATCCCAGGGACCACCTCCAACCTTGCCTGTCTTAGTGACTTTCCTCATCGCTGAGACAAAATAACCTGACATCCAAACTGAAGGAGGAAAGGTTTATTCAGCTCACAGTTGGTAGAGGTTTCAGTCTGTAATTGACTGGCTCCAAGGCAGCGTGGCGTGGCAGGCAGGCCTTGCAGAGGAGAAAGAGTCCGTGGCAGCCAGAAGGTAGCAGAAGCAACAAGGGACCTTCACAGTGTCTTCCTGCCCTTGTATGTTACCCAGACCACTTAGGGTGAGTAGCACTCGCATCCCCCATCCTGGCGCCCTTGATCCTGACATTGCTCCGTGCATCGATCCCAGCATCACACTCTCTAGATCCAGCCACCTCTGAAAAAGCCCTGCCTATGACCGCATGAGGCTTTGAGGGGACATCAAGACACAAGGTATAGCAATGTCACATCTCCTAACAGCACATTCAGCCTTGAACTCAACCATGGATGAATCCACCGATGGGTGCAGCGCCCCACGATCCCTTTCCCTTCCCAACGCCCTGCCGGTGAACGTCGGAGTTCTGAGGACACCCAGCTTCATCTGCAAATGGATTGCAGCAGGAGACGTCTCAGGACAGGAACATTGGGATTGAGAGCAGATAGGGGGACGCGGTGGGGCTGGCACGGGGGCAGCCGCTCAGCCTTCTTCTGCTGGGCCCCTCGATTCCCGCCGAGTGTGTTAAAGTGAGGCCAGAAGAATCTTTCTTCTTCACGCACTGACTTGTTGGGAAGTACAGATGTGGCGAGTGACACTCGTGCTCTCCCAGCGAGCATCCTGCTTCTGGCAAGATGCTGGGCTCCATCCGGAGATGCGGGTGACAAGTAGAGCATGCGAGAGTAGCAGGTGTCAGGAAGCCCCACCCTGGGCGTGTCCTGGGGGAATCACACCCAGCCCCTGGATTTCACATGGCCCACGGAGGAATCTGGAGGGAAGGGTTTGCCAAGCTAGTGACTCTCGGTGAGCGAGTCTCCGTACCAGCTCGGGCCCCCTGAGATGGGCCAGCTGTCGTGTCGGGCACTGCTCTCCAGGAAGCCTGGCCGGGACCATCTCCCACTTCCCATGGGTGGCAGAGCCTTCCCGGAAGGAAGGAAGCGTCCCCCACTTCCGCCGCCAGCCTCATGGGATCCGGTGGTCCCTGCAGCAGCTGAGACTTATTTTGTTCACGTCTGTCCCTGTTGACAAACCTCATCTGGGAACTGCTACAGATCGAGTATCCCTTGTTCAGGGTGCTCGGGACCACAGGCGTTGCAGAGTTTGGGTTTTCTCTTTCAAAGTTTGGATTCTCTGTAGGTGAACGATGACATCTCTTGGGGGTGGGACCCAGGTCTAAACTCGGAACTTGGTCAGATCTCATACACACTTTATGTACATGGCCTGAAGGCCATTTGATGCCTTTTGTTTGTTTCTGGAAACCGGGTCTCACTATGCAGTTCTGGCTGGCCTAGAACCGGCAGTGATCCTCCTCAGCCTCAGCCCCCCGAGTGCTGGGATTACAGGTGTGCGCCGCCATGCCTGGTGTTTGCTCTCCTTTTACAAACTGGTTTTTCTTCCTTTGTGTTGCTCCGTACCTCACCAGGAGATCTGTCCAATGAGCTTGTCCGGCACTTCCTCATTGAGTGCACCCCGAAGGGCGTCCGGTTGAAAGGGTGCTCCAACGAACCGTACTTTGGTGAGTCTTCGGCAAGTCCCTCCCCACCGATTCTGGGTCCCTGTGTTCACTCTGCAGCCACCCTGAGACCTGAGACCTGGCTGTCGAGGTGGTCAGCTTGTGTTTCAGGTCTGAGGTCCCTGGCTGTGAGGTCTTGTGTCTGGGACAGAGTAGATGTGCGCTCACTCTGCAAAGCAGGGCACACACAGCCCGTGACAGGCGACATGGCTGTCAGTGGGGCACTGTCCCGGCCTCGCAGGTGCCTGTAGATGGGTGGCATGGGTGGTGCAAGGTGGGGTTGCCTTGATCTCGGCCCCCTGGTTTTAGATCCTGCAAATTTGCCCGGTTTCTTCTTTGAACTCGGGTAGTGACTTGTCTGTGCTAGTAGCCCACTGGGGTTCCTACCACTTACCCCTTGGCGGTCTTTTCTTTCTGCTTTACCAGCGATTGAACCCAGAGCCTTCTGGCTGAGCTATATCCCCAGTCTTTCTAGTTTTGAGACAAGCTCATGCTAAGTTGTTAAGTAGTCCATGCTGAACTCAAACTTGCAATCCTCCTGCCTCAGCCTCCCAGAGCGCCGGGTGATGAGAGGTGTGGGCCCCCACATCCAGCCTATTTAGCTGTCTTACAGGACCTGTCTCATCTCTGAGGTTCTGGGCTGTGTCTCCCACAGCCCGCCACGTGGGTAACTGAGTGAGAGTGAGGGACTCAGCTGTGGCAGTGACTCATTTCAGCGGGGCAGTGGGGTGCCGCTCACTGGCTTCTGTCCCACAGGGAGCCTGACGGCCTTGGTGTGCCAGCACTCCATCACGCCCCTGGCCTTGCCCTGCAAGCTGCTCATTCCGGAGAAAGGTACGGGCTGGGTGGGGTCAGGCGCTCTGACGGGGCCCTTTCTCCTGGAGCACTCTGGACAGGGGAGGCGGAAGAGTTGAGCTGAGTCCCGGAGGGGCACAGGCCCCGCCACAGCCGGACGCTCCTGGACAGCTGCCCGCTGTGGCCTGCGGAGAGCAGAGATCTGCAGTTTAAAAACACATGGTGCTCAAGGCCATTTCCCTGTAGCTTTTACGATTCTACAAAACAGGCAAAATGTTGATCGTGTTGATCTGAGGTGACGGGGAAACATTTCCCAGGTATTATGTCTGTTTGGGGATAGCCACAACGAGAATCTGTTTAAAGGTAACAGCTGCAGAGTAACCGAAGAACTGGTCCTTGGTCCTGGCTTTCTTACGCGGGCTCAGTTATACACAGATGCTTTTCCTAGGAAGATTTTCAATAAAACGCAGCTAGCTGGGATTTACCTTTTCAGTTTTCACGGTTCATGTGAATGAACTCAGGGATCAGAATGACATTTGTTGAGCTGAGCCATCCCTGACTCTGGGGTGTGACGGACTCAGTGGGCTGGGTCATTGTCCTCGAGAGAAAAATCTCAGCTCTGCAGGACCAGCCGCATGTCAGCGTCTGGGAATTCTGTCCTCAAACTGCCGGCCTTGCTGGGAGCAGCATTCATCACCGAGCTTTCTCATCCCTTCCTGCAGATCCGCTGGAAGAAACGGCAGAGCCCTCTCCCCACACGGCTGCCAACTCTGCTGCCGAGCTGCTGAAGCAGGGTGCAGGTTGGTCTCCACGGCCTGGGTTCGGGACAGGATGCGGTTCGGTGCCCCCATGTCCTCCTGCACTTCCGGCCCCCAGCTTCCTTCTCGTCCTCGGGCTGGGAAGGAAGTTGCCCTCTACAGACGCTTGCAGGGTTGGGTGGGGTGCAGTTGCCGGTGCCAGGGCTGGGGCATCCGTCTCTGGCTGCAGATGCCGGTCTGACTTGAACAAGACCAAAGTCGGGGATGGACGTGAAGTCCAAGGCAGGATGTGGTGACGCGCCTGGCCACTCAGGCACTGCCCGGCGTGAGTCAGCGTGCGGACCCACAGTGGCCCGGTGCCCACGCTCAGAAGACCGGGCCCCGAGTGTGGGGCGTTTTATTAATAGACTGCTCTTGAGAGTGGTGACACGTACAGCAAGACAGAGAGAGGGCGGTCAGGAGACGTCCTTGGGGACACAGCGGGCCCTGGCGGGGCGTTTGTATAGTGTGAGCCACCTGACGCCAGCCGACCGCACCGCAGCTTTGATGGCTCGTTTGTTTTGAGCGCAGGATCGCATTCCACAGTCTAGGTTTATTTATCCATGCACCGACAGGAGGGCTTGACAGGAGGGCTTCGGGGCTGCAACTCACCTGTGGGAGTTAGGCTTTCTGCAGACAGTTCCCGGTCCTGTGGGCGGGCTCGGCGCAGCCTGACGGTGGGATTGGGTGGCAGGAGCAGGCTTGGTTGTGTAAGAAACCACAAAACTGGCTTCTTCCGAAGCGAAGCGGCTGCTGCCCACCAGCTGGCGGCCCCTGGTCCCTCTTGGGTGAGCCCTGTTTCTGTTCTCCCTGCGCCCCTGCCGTGGGGGTGGCTCTCTTCCTTCTGCTGTGCAATGGCGCTCCTCCCGTCCTTTTGTCCGGTAGTTTTCTTGTTGATTTTGAACTCCACTGCATATGTGGATAACCGTCTTTTACCTGATTGGTGTTTTGCCACGATCGCCTCCTGGCCTATGGCTAATCTTTTCATTCTTTGACGGTGTCTCTTGAAGAGCAGAAATTTTTTAATTTTAATAAAACCCAGTTTCGGTGTCTCGCCTGAAATGTCATCACCAGACCCCAGCTCATCCAGGTTTTCATTTTTGTTTTCTGCAAGGACTTTAACAGCTTTATGTTTTACATGTAAGAAGCCTCTAGTGGTTTGTTTTTCTCAAGGATTTTAGGTCTGGGTGTTAATGTGAGTCAATTTCGGGGCTCTATACTTTGTTCCGTTGATATTTGTTTTGTTTTGTTTTCTTAGGTATCACTGTCTTTTTACTGTAACTTTATGGTTGGTGGTTGTGTCTCCTCTGCAGCTGTTTTCAGAATCATGTTGGGTCTTCTGCTTTTCCATATACAGTTTAGAATCAGTTTGTCAGTATCTGTCAAATAACCTGCTAAGCTTTGAGCCATGGGTGCTGGTGCACACCTGTAATTCCAGTTTCCAGGAGGCCGAGGCAGGAGGATCACAGAGTTGGAGGCCAGCCTGGGCTGCTTAGTGAGCTCAAGGCCACCCTGGACTACATAGTGAAACTTTTGTCTCAAAACAAAACAAAATTTGCTCAGATTTTGACTAGGATTGCCCTGAACATGTAGAGGGAAGTGGGAAAAGCAGACGTCCAGACAGTTTCGCGTCTTCTTCCTGTCCACGCACTTCAGTGACACGCCCCTTGACTTAGTTCTCTGCTGTCTTTCATCAGAGGTTTGTGGTTTTCCTCACACAGACCTTATGTGCATCTTGTTACACTTCTGACGTAATTTGGGGATGCTTAATGTAAGTGATGCTGTGTTTTAATTTCAAGTCCTCCTTGTTAAGTGCCGGGTGTCCAGGGAAACAGTCGCCTTCTGTGTATTAATGTTGTACCCAGCAACCTTGCAAGTGCCAGTTCTTCCAGGCGGTGGGTGCAGATCCAGCGGCCCCTGTTTTAGAGGGTTGTGAAGGGGTCCAGGAGACGCACTGTCAGGACACGGCTGGAGGAGACACTGGGTCTTTCCGGTTTTGAAACCTGATTTCTTTGCATGGACAACGTCTCCTACGAGGCAGATTTCTCCCGGCAGAAATGTCGGAGTGGGAATTGCTGGTGCTGGTGGGGTTTGGATGAGAAATACTCCCGCTTTGTACCGCGAAATACTTTATAGCTGTAATCAACCACGAAGGCCTATGGCATAGGGAGACGTTTTCTTTGGTCCCTGCTGCAGGGGTCGCCGTCTGTGGCCGACGTGGGAGGACAGAGGGTGCGGTAGGCATGCTCCCCGGGGGCGGCCTGAGCTTGTGGCTGTGCTTGTGAGTTTTAGAGTCTGTCACTGTTGGTTAGAAAGCGGGGAGGACTCGGCGACACCCCCACAGTTCTCCCTGCCCCCCGCCCAGCACCCCCGAGTAGCTGCTCTGCCCCTGGGGGGCCCAGCCTTGCTGTCGTCTCCAGGAGCCTGAACTTGGGGCCGGCTGTTCCCCCCCCAATGCTCCCCAGTGCCCCAGGGCGGCACCGAAGCCACCTCCCTCTGCCGGCTGTGTTTCAGTTTAATACGCTCAGCACAGCGGCTCACACTCACTCCTTCTTGTTCAGCATTCACCCAGTGAGTGTTGACTTACTGAGTGAGTAAGCAAAGCAGTCATGATGAGGAACCTCTGTGGCCTTGGTTTCCGAGATGAAAGCTTTCTCTCTCCTGCTTCGTTGTCAGGGACCTTTTTCCTCTTCTTAAAATGGTGCATGATTAAGTCTTGCTTTTATTTTTATTTTTTTTCAGTACTGGGGATTGAACCCAGGGCCTTGGCAGTGAGCCACATCCCCAGCCCTTTTCACTAAGTTGCCGGGTTGCCCAGGCTGGGCTCATACCTGGCAATCCTCCTGCCTCAGCCTTCCAGAGGGCTGGCATTGCACCCCCACACCCAGTTTAAACATTTTACTTTTCGTTTTTAAAGTAAGTGAGGCTCCTCAGATCTCAGACTTTGTTCAGAACCTATGTGTAGTCTTAGGTAAGTGGTCACTCGGGTAGGAAGTGTGCGTTGTAATTGCTTTGACCTTCAAGGCCTCTGTGTCCATGAAGGACACAAGAACCCAGGGCGGCGGTGGCGGGTGAGGAGCCGGGCTCCCCGTGCCTGTCCGGGGCGTGAGCTGTGGTTGTGTAAAACGGGAGCAAGGGTGCGCTTGGGTCCAGGTACAGAGCTATGCCGATTGCCGATTACCAAAAGTGGGCTTCGGTTCCTAAACGGAATTTCATCTGTGGCCCGATTCACTCAGATCCTAGGCTCCTGGACACTCGGAGGCCCAGGGAATCACCGTGTGCAGCGTCGTGCCTGGTGCAGATTTTGAGACTCAGAAATAACAGAGCCAGAAGCTCACAGAGCTGGGAATAAACGCCTAATTGTGTGCTGCTCAGTCCCTTTTGTGGGATACAGAGGCTTTTATGATTTTGTTCTGGTCTCTAAAACAATTTCTGCTTGTGCTTAGGCCCTCCCTTCTTAATTGTTCCTCGTCTCGGCGGAGGAATGTAGGGTAATCCGGAAAGAAAGGGCTTTGCCCAGAAGTCTCCGTTTCTTGTAAATATCACAGTTGTGTTTTTAATCTTAGCCTTCTGTGAGTACGGTTTCTTGACAAAAGTTGCATGTGCTTTGTAATTTTAAAAAAGGGAAACAGAAAAGAAAAATGATGTTGTCTTTGAGCGATTACCCTGAACCACTGCTGCCCATGGGACTTGGGGTCCTGCACACACGCCAATGTTTTATGTCCCCTGTGTATGCTTTGCATAATGAGTTCTGTGCTTTTTACAAACACTCCGCAGGCCGTGTCTCTCAGAGACTTCAGGTCTTTACAGCCATCTGCCTGGGCTGCCTCTGATTTTCCAGTACCAAGCCAGGCTCGGAGGATTTTGTTCTTTTCCCGAATGCTGGGCTGGTGCCCGAGGAGGGATTCATGGATGTGGCCCAAGACGCTGCTTTCCCAGGGTAGCCGTGGGCTGGGCATGCACATCTCCCTCTTCAGGGCCCACAGAGCAGCTGTGGTGGCACCGGGCGGTCCTGGCCAGGCTCGGAGGGGCAGCTGAGAGTCCTGTGCTGGGAAAGAGCCCCCACCCACCAGCATCCCGCTGGCCCGGGAGACCTGACAGAAGCCTTGAGGGGCCCTGCAAAGTGGGGGTGCAGCAGCTTGTGGTCCCTTGGGATGCCCACCCCCATTGTGCCTCTCGGGGTCCCCTGGAGAGCTGCTGTGCGTTTCCTTCCTGCTGGGCAGGCAGGGGCAGGCAGAGGTATGCGAGCTTTTCATCGTCCAGCACCGACAGCCTCCACTCTGTCCAGTTCCCTGCTCACCTCGTGCTGAGTCATTTTCCGGATTGCCACCTGCTGGTTGCTTGGGTCCTGCTGAGGGGACGCAGTTCACCCTTCCCTCCTCTCGAGTGATCTCTCCACTGCCACCTGTATGTGTGGGGACGTCACCCAGTGCAGGCCGCTTCTCCCCGTGGTTGTGGGAACTTCGGAGACTCCCCAGAAGTGGGGCCTCCAGGTTACTTCCAGCTTTTTGAGACTGTTCTGTTTTGTTTTCTGAAACAGGCCCTTATTGTGTAGTTCAGGCTGACCTTGTGCTAAGTAGCCCAGGTTGGCCCCAAACAGGAGGGATCCTCCCGCCACAGCCTCCTGAGTGCTGGGGTTACAGGTGTGCCCCACCACGCCCACCTGGCTCTGTTTCAGTACTTATAGGAGGCAATATCAAGCTGTTTAGTGATAGTAAAAGTAAAGTCAACCAGAGTTTATGGAGGGAAGTCAGAAAACCAGGTGAAACCCTGTGTGTATTGCAAGTTCAGGATTCCATCCTCGGTGTCACCTCCCAGATCAGGGTTTTTTCTGGATAACTCGGCAATGCAGCCCCCCACCCCTGTCTTCCTTCTCCATCCTGGTTACTCCGCGAGCTCATTGAAGAGCAGCAAGTTTCCAGACCCCCCCCCAGAACATCTTAGACTTCACAGATGAGTACTTGGGAGGCCGAGACAGGAGGATCTCTGCCAGTTTGAGGCCAGCTTGGGCTACATCGCGAGATGCTGTCTCAGACAGACAAGGGAGTGTGTGCACAGGCAGAGAGCTGTGTCCCCGTTGGCAAGACTGACCGCGCCCTTGCCGCCCTCAGCCTGCAACGTGTGGTACCTGAACTCCGTGGAGATGGAATCGCTGACTGGCCACCAGGCGGTGCAGAAGGCGCTGAGCCTGACGCTGCTGCAGGAGCCGCCACCTCTGTCCACCGTGGTCCACTTCAAGGTGTCAGCCCAGGGCATCACGCTGACAGACAATCAGAGGAAGTGAGTGTGGCCGGGTCAGCAGAAGTCACCCAGCATTGTCTTGCTGGGCAGGCGGGTCCCGGGGGCGCCCCCTTCAGGGTGGCGAAGGGACTGCAGCTTGAGGTGTGCGAGCCAGGAGGCTCTTCTGGGCCTGTTTCCTGCCCTTCTCCTGCCCCGCCAGGCCCTTAGGGAACATTCTGTTTTTTTGTTTTTTGTTTTTTGTTTTTTCCTTTTTGGCACCAGGGATTGAGTACCAAGGTCTTTGCACTGAGCTATATTCCCCAGTGCCCCCCTTCCCCCTTTTTTTGGTACGGGGATCAAACTCAGGACCTTAACACTTGCCAGGCAAGAAGTGGAACCACTGAGCTAAATCCCTGGCCTGCCAATCCTTTTTGTTTTTAATTTTTATTTCGATACAAAAATCTTCTCTTAAGTTTCCCTGGTGGAGGGGGCTCAAACTTTCGATCCTCCTGCCTCGGCCTCCCAGAGTGTTGGGATTACAGGCCTGCACCTCGGTGCCGAAGTCTTTAGGTTCCTTGAGCCTGTGCCGCCTTCCCTGGGCTGAGAGTTCATTTCCTAGAGCAGTTCTGTCTGCTTCATGTCCTTTCTAAGGATGGGGTCAGACTGCTTTCTTTCTACTCCGTGAGGCTTCACGGGGGTCGGGGTCTGGCCCAGGGCACCCAGCCCACACCCCAGTGACCCGCTCTCCCTGGTGTCTGCAGGCTCTTCTTCCGGAGGCATTACCCTGTGAGCAGCGTGATTTTCTGTGCCTTGGACCCTGAGGACAGGAAGTAAGAAATCCACACTTGCCCTGAGCATTTGCGTGGGACTCTTGATTTGCAGAATTAACTCTTTTCTCTTTAATCCCTAAGGTGGATCAAAGACGGCCCCTCCTGCCGGTAAGTGGCCAGTGCCCCTTGAACTCTACATATAATCTTAGTCTGAAGTGGGATTCTGCTCACGTTTCAGGGAGGATCCCTGCAGAACCGACTCGGTCTGTCAGTGGGTTGTTTGCTTGTTTTTTGTTTTGAGACAGGGTCTCACTATAGTTGAGACTGACCTGGAACTCACTATATAGCCCAGACTGGTCTCAAACTCACAGTGATCCTCCTGCCTCAGCCTCCCGAGTG